GCAGATTGTACAGAAGACTGAAGAGTACAATTTGCCACTTTGCCTGGCGTATGTGGACTATGAGAAAGCCTTTGATTCCGTCGAAATTTGGGCGGTGCTGCAGTCCCTTCAGCGGTGCCAAGTTGACTGTCGGTATATCGAAGTGCTGAAGTGTTTGTACAGTAGGGCTACGATGGCTATCCGAGTACAGAACCAGAGCTCGAAACCTATCCAACTGCAGAGAGGTGTAAGACAGGGTGACGTTATATCCCCGAAACTCTTCACCGCTGCTTTGGAAGACGTTTTCAAGCTACTGGACTGGAAAGGATACGGTATTAACATCAATGGCGAGTACATCACTCACCTTCGATTTGCCGACGATATAGTCCTTATGGCAGAATCGCTGGAGGACTTAAGCACTATGCTCAATGACCTCAATAGTGCCTCCCAACGGATAGGTCTTAAGATGAACATGGACAAAACAAAGATTATGTTTAATGTCCATGTCACACCTATGCCGGTAGTTGTTGGGAGCACTATGCTCGAAGTTGTTGACGAGTACGTTTACCTGGGACAAATATTCCAACTAGGTAACTCCAACTTCGACCGAGAGGTCAATCGACGGATTCAACTCGGCTGGGCAGCGTTCGGGAAATTACGACATATCTTCTCGTCAGGTATACCTCAATCTCTGAAAACTAAAGTGTACAACCAGTGCGTGTTGCCAGTGATGACTTACGGATCAGAGACGTGGTCCTTCACTGCTGGCCGTATGAGGACGCTCAAGGTCGCTCAGCGAGCTATGGAGAGGGCTATGCTCGGAGTTTCTCTGCGTGATAGACTCAGAAATGGGGATATCCGCAGTAAAACCAGAGTGACCGACACAGCCCAACGGATTAGTAAGCTGAAGTGGAAGGCCGATGAACCGATAACCGATGGGGAAGAAAGGTTCTCGAGTGGCAGCCTCGTACCGGTAGGCGTAGTGTAGGGCGACCCCCCACTAGATGGAGTGACGACCTGGTAAGATATGCAGGAAGTCGATGGATGCAGGTGGCTCAGGACCGTGCTTTGTGGCATTACTTGGGGGAGGCCTATGTTCAGCAGTGGACTTGTGAAGGGCTGTGATGATGATGATGATGATGATGGTGGTTTTTTCATTTCTCTTTTTAAATTGCTATAGTACCTTAAAGCTAACGTTTTCGATCAAATGAACGTCGTAAATTTGAACGCGATCACAAACGAAAAAAAAAGTTCCGTATTTTTTATTCAGCACACGTATGAAGTTTGTCTGCATAATATTTGGTTTTTGACTACCTACAATTGTTTTATACATTAACCAAAAAAATGTATAAAAATTTTTTAATGTTACATCGACGACTTGGTGGCGCATTAGCTCACTACGCTTTTGGTTACTGCACGGAACATGTTTTATAGACCATACGTCAATAAATAATTGTTCCGGGTCTGGTTTTCCCTGGGCAATTTATGTATGTAACACCTCCACGATATACAATATACGTGGTAGAGCCACACTGCAGCTATATTATAGTTGTAGCACGAATGGGTCGGCTCGACCGGGGAAGGATCACGCTCTCACAGAATACCAGCGTAAAATAGCAGCTTAATACTACTGTGTTTCGTATGGTGAGTGTCCGGAGACCCTTTTTTGCTGGAAACGAGACATTCCCTGCTAGTCCTCAGGGGTGACAACGCATCTGCGTTTTGATTCTTAATCGAGGATAAATGTAGATGTCTATGGGCCACAGCATCCACTTACCGTCAGGTCTGCTCGTTTGTCACCCTTATTCTATAAAACAAACGATACAGAAGCAAATCTCACTCAGAGAATGTCGATCACGCGACTGGGCCCAGGAGAGTGTGATGCTTCTCGAGAGTATATATTTATGTATTTGTTTCTTTGGTACAATGGATTTTAACATATAAGGTGTCGTTAAACTTGTCATAGTTGTGGAAGTACCTATTTTAAACCGTCGGGTTTATCTAACTGTTACTGTTTTAGTCCTTAAGGGGAAATATAATCTCAAATGGCTTAGCAAGATCCTACGTTATGCCGAAAATATTGCAGCATTAATTTTGAAATAAATATATGGTAAAGTTTAGGATTAATGTTAATGATTATGTTAGACGAAAACACGATTTCGTAAAATTTTCTCGATAGAAAAAAAAATCCAAAGTTACCTCCAAAATAAACAATAAACCGCTGTTATTCATAAAATACTTTAAATAAGATCATGAAACTTCGCATACTAACTGAACTAACTATAAATCAGTGCTTATGTTATTTACTTTTTTTTAAAATACCATTATTTTCACTGTAAAAAGAAATTACCTAAACTATCGGCCTCTTGAAGCGTGATTCCTGCCGCACGGTCACTTCGCTTCGGCCTTTGAACGAAGAGGTTGTGTCGCTTACGATCAGAATATACATAATGCAACAGGACGACGTAAAATTAAATTGGGAAATAACCGTAATAAAAATAAGAAGCGGCTGGCTTGTCGTTAAGAAACAGGCATAAATATGATAAACCTAATGAAATAAGTGTCTAACGACCTTTCTACCTACAGTATTAGTAATTACAAACATGTCGGTAGATAGCATACGACGCGCGGGCAAGTGGGGACGAAATTAGAATTTGAGCTGACATACTCTATCCCCTTAAGCTTGCTGCCTACAAAAAATATTTAAAGGAAATATGTATATTTAACTGTAATCACACTGTTTCGTCTTAAGTCATCCATTCAATTGAAACAATAAATGCGACTATCTGCTCTTTCATGTAACATTATTAGCTTGTAGTAAAGCTGCTGTAGGTAATTTGTGATTTTAGCACCCATAAGTTGATTCGACCGGGGAAGAACCACGCTCTCACAGAATACCAGAGTAAAATAGCAGCTAATGCTTTTGTTTTTCATATTCTGATGAGTGTAGAGAACGGGAGACCCTTTTTACTGGACACAGAGCATTCCATATTGGTCTTCTATATAGGTCAATTACCATTAAGTGAACTGTGTGCTCGTTTTTTACCCTAATTCTAATATATATAATCACTAAACAAATTGTTATGCATTGTAACAATAAATGCGACTATCGAACAGCTCTAGAGCGCGTTATACATAATGTCTATCAAGGATTCACGTACACGGATAATTTCAATTTCATGTAAATTCGGCGTGCATCGTGAGAACGAGCCTTGAATGCTTTGCAATACAAAAACTAAGTGATTCGTAGTCAGCGCGCGTAGTCACATTACGTCTTGTATTCCTCGGATCTACAATGCTATAGTACTCGTACAAGTTGAGGTAACATGATGGGTATTAGTTATCCCACTTTAAAGTTAAAATATCTCTATCGTTTTTAGGTGACTTTAATAAAAGGATGAGGTTTACAATATATAAGTATGACACTTTGTATGTAGGTATATTACGCGATATCTTCGTAATTTTTTTATATATTCTTATAGTCAAAGATGAACACCAACACATGTACGTAATTTGTACGTTATTATAACTAGACGTAATTTATTGACGTTGAAAAGTGAGCAGCTTCGTAGATTTTATGGCACAGCGCCGCACTATGTCGAAAGCTTAATTAATAGCCACCGTTTATTATATATTCATACAGTAATTGCAACAAATGGTCGACCATTGGCGACCAGTTAACATTTGGCCTCTTACGAAATTTCCCTTGTACAGACGTCTAGAATATTGAGATGTTGTCGGCGGGGAATCATTAGAATTACGACATAGGAACAGGCCTGGATGTAATTTATACAAAAAAATCAACCTTATAACTGAGGAGGTAGACTTCAAATTATCAGATCAGAATTTCATTAAAGGCGATTATCAGTTACACGGTAATTATAGTAACAAAATTAATTAATGACTCGTTATAAAAACGTTTCGATCGAAAGTGCTAGATTGACATCTTCCACACGGTCCAATTAAAAAAATCAACGTTGAAACGGTATGCGACAAACGGGTATTTTATGGTAAACGTAAAGTTTTAGAGAGAAAATTATATTATAATTAATTAAAATTTGTTGAAACTTCCACTTATAACAAATACATTAACATTAAAAAAATCTGATATATATCACATTTTTTAATGTTATGATATTATATTTGGTTGCAGAAATATATTTACATTTATTTTATATTATTTATCATATTATTAATATTAAAAGACATTTCTTTAATTGGTCTCGTACTCGTTTGATGAAATATAATATAATAGAATTGCAAATACTTTATTCCACAAACTGCATTAATTTATATGGCGATATAATAAGTGATCTTATTATTTACTTTAGCTTTCTATTGATTTTTCTATTTATCGTTTGTATTCTATACCTATTTACTTATTCTAGTTTTATAAGTAGGAGTAAAAAGTGAATGTACTTTTTACTTCTACTCTATTTTTATCTTCGGTTGACTTCTCTCACCATTCGAAACACGGCAGCATAACAAGGCTGACAAAACTATCACACAGTCCGGCAGTGACAAATGGATGCCGTCGCCAATCGTTAAGTTGTGTATTCTATCCTCCATTAAGAATAAAAGTGCTTTGCCACTTGTGTTGACCAGGATGGAATTCCTCAATTCCAGTAAAAAAATTCTCTAGTTTTCTTCACTCATATTTCGAAAGACAGCGGAATTTTACGCCTATTGGCGTAAAATTCCGCTGTCTTTCAAAATATTGCGAGACCGTGATCCTTCCCCAGTCGAGACATGTTTCGAAATATAGCCGCAGTATAATAAAAATTAACCAATGTTAGAAAAATTGTATGTTTGTCTCATCATCATCATCATCATCATCATCATCATTACTGCCAGTGCTGTAGGACAACCCCCTACTACATTGAGTGACGTCCCTGAGGACCCGGTAAGACAAGCATAAAGTCGATGAATGCAGAGGGTTTTTGTGTTTGAATTTAATTCGATATGTCATTTTTATGATGTTTATTTATACTTGCGTAACAATGAAAATATTTCCATTTCAGGGAGCAAGAGGCACTATCTCGCTGTCAGAACAGTCCGTCCGCTGGCTTGCCGCCACCCGGTGAACACTCGCTGCTGCTCTGCTGCTTCAGAGACCTCTGCAACCACGAGGACAGTCCCCTGGCAAGAGCTAGATTAAACATGACGAATGATCTTGGTACGTATTTGGATTGGATTATATCATTTAATACTTACTCGCATTTTTGATATTTTATATTTTTGACGTGATAGAGCCACACTACAGCGATGGCTGTAGGACGAGTGGGTGGTCTCGACCAGAGAAGGGCTTTTAAGATCGCACATAAAACTAGCTGTAGTTGTGTTTCCTACTTTTTACCGATAACGTCTATAAATAGTGGTAACGGCTAAAATCAGCTAATTCAAATCATATGATACAATAATTTATTAATTGTGTTAAATATTCAGTTGAATATATCCTGTACAAAGAATAGGTACTTCCTACATACGTCACAGCTCTCCGCGTATTTCGAAGTGGCTGTTATTGCAGGAAAGAGACCGCCGTTCTGCTCTGTATGCGTTTTGGCCTACTTCAACTGCCCTCGATTTTTTATTTAATTTCTAGTACATGCCGGTTTCCTCACAATATTTGCCTTCACCCCTCAACACTGACAATGACACTTAAATGTCGGCAGGAGTCGAACTTGGCCAGTGATGTCAAACATACGGCCCGCGGATAGTTATTCAATATTCACTCTGCCTGCGTTTACATCTATACGGCAAAGTGTAAATTTTATATATTCGACTTTTCACCCTTACTGGTTGACCCTTAGTTCCTAAATAAAGATTCTATTTATTGTTTCCTTTTGCGTGAGTTTATTTTTAATCTGGTCCGCAAGCGGCGGGCCAATATTACCCTAATTCTGTGAACGACCATGTTGAAAGTACCGTTTGATGATACCCCTGCTCTAACCTATACCTTAAACCTAACCTATAATAAATGAAATATATTTCACCATATTTCATGATGACCTATTAGTATTATGGAATATTATAAAATACATGTCATATTGTTATCACTTAAGTTTTCTTCCTCTATATATGTGCTATGTTATCGTAAATGTACTTGAGCGAGCTATTATCCAAGCGATAATCTGTCGCTCAAGTTAGAAAATTTTTTCTCAGGGATGACACTAATCTAGATAAACTAAGAAAGTAAAATATTAGCTAAATACAATATTTCACGTATCATTTGCGAGAAACCGATTACATAATATATACAAGAATTGCTCGCTATTATAGGATATAGTTGTGGATTTTACATAACATAAACACTCACGCCTGGCACCCAGAGGGGTAGGTAGAAAGTACAGACTTCCATTTGTCACGATCGCCCCCTCCATCCATATACCTACATATATATAATTTGACCCATTTTCAATATATCGCCAATTTGGTCGATAAACTTGCGCCTAGGACGTTCCTTTCCGACTTTGCCGTTCACTTCCACAACACATATTTGCCTTGTCACCCTTTCCTCATTCATTCTTCCTACATGACCAAACCACCGAAGCATTCCTTTCTTAATCCTAGTCACAACATCATCTTGCAATCCACACTCTTCTCTTATCACACAATTTCTCACCCTGTCACTCAGATTCAGCCCTAACATACTCAACGACCGTAGTTTTTACTTTAGTAATATTGATATATTTTTCTGAGTTTTTGTCAAATGACAGCGGGCACTACAGTGTGTGGTTCCAGTATGAAAAGTGGTTCACATGCTACGTGTTAGTCAGTGGTAAAACATACATAACACTTGGTAAAATATACATAAAGGCTACATCTTTGCTTGAATTTGATCGCAGACGTCCGTAGGATGCATTGGCCACTTACAATCAGATGGAGTCCGTGAAACTGTTGTAGTCTATTAACTCTTCATGTAGTCTCGATTTGACGAAGTCATAATCTCACTGATCCATTAAAATAATACAAAACTAAACGAAAATTTCCGTCAACCGCTGCAGAGTTCCCGACAAACATCTGTAGCACTAATATTATCAACGCAATAACCTCGTAAATAGCAATACTTGAACACGATCAGTATTATTTTACATTAAGTATATTTAAAGCAATTTGCAACGGGGACGACGCCAACGACGCTTTGTCTTGTATCTAATGTATTACGATAAGGATAAAGAAAAACAACTTAGTCACTGCACGATTTATATCTATATTGTTTAAGCAGATTTCAAGGTACTGTTTAAAAAGCTTTAAAGCTTTTTAACTAACTGCGACGGAATTCCTCGGGTATATTAACTAACGACTTAAACAATATTAAGCAAATAAATGTATCCGTGTGTCAAATATATATTTTATTTGTGGTCATAAAACATTTTATTTATGATTAATAAAAGTAATCATTTATTTATTCACCTCATTTTATAATTTGGGTTGTTTACATTATAATTATGCTCTATAATAAGGGTGCCAAACGAGCACACATTCCACCTGATGGTAAGTGGATACTGTGGCTCATATGCATCTATCGTATGTCAATCCTCGATTAAGTAATATGCTGAAAACTGAGATGGAATCTTAATCTTGCCTCTTTCTCATTTCCAATAAAAATAGTCTTCGTCGTTCGCTACAATTACTTCAATCTTCTCGCTAGAATTACTAACTTTTTTGAAATTCTTATATCCTTGTATCACATAATATTAGTATTCGTCCAACAAAATGCGTCTTTTTACACAATATTTATTTTATAAGCTAATAAGAAATTGACAATAAAACTTCGAATAGCCTATGTATACAGTTTCGATAAGAGATGACTCGGCGAACGCTTAGGTCGATTTCAGTTGAATTGCGTCGAGTATCGATTCCTGGAACCGATAAAACAGACTACGAGCACTGCCCACGACCTATAAACGAGTTGAAGGGTAGTGAAAAAATTAATTGACTTTTTAATTGCTCGATACAATCACAAGTTTACTTAGCAAAAACATAAATATAAAGCTTTTATACAGTCCACGTTTTTACTCTTAAGTGTAGAAAAAATTTATTTTGTATTGAACGAGCTGTTCTTAATGATTGAGAACTATGGGTGTACTAAAATAAAGAGAAGCATTAAAGTAACATATAGTAAAGGTTATTAGCGATATCAAGGTGTAATAAAAATAACCCATGAAAGAAAAATTATTTTTTCATATATTATTCATAATCGGCTTTTTAACTTTCCGCTGCGTTATGCGATGCTTTGAAAAATATATTATCAATAACAATAATAATTGTATATTTTTAATATCAAAAATGTCGCTGCGATTTCCTGGAAGACCAGGATAAAAATAATTTTCGAACAAGTGGTAAATGAGTTGGTAAAAATAAAAATATTTTATCTGTGTCACATAAAATGGTTAAATTATTTCATAATAAACAATATTATCAATTCAAAATTTTATAAGTTGTAAACAAAAATTGTTGTGTATAAAACCATCGTTGTTAAACAGTTAACTGATTATTTAAATTATCAATATTTTTTGCTATTTTTTCATCGTTGTAAATAACGTGTAACAAATAAATTTAAAACGATACGGAAGAGAGGAGAGGTCAAACGTTCGTCTAATAATCGTTAATTCGTTCAAGTAATCTACACATAAAAAAAAGATTGAACTGTGATAAATGAGTTATATTTTAATTATTAATTTGTCAAACCAAAATACCGAACTGCCAATTGGTTAAAAGGAGACTGGCAAATATATGTATTCTTTGTAAACCTTGAATAACATGGTGGTACCATTGCATTATGATGTCTATTATGTATAATATCTCAATGACTGGCATCAAGTGTCCAATAACATCGTGCATGTAGTTTATATTAAATTCCTCGAGACGCGAAGTTTCCGCGGCTGCTTATTATTCCAGTGCTCTCCTTATCTAATTTAAACAGCCGGTGAGTCAGCTTGCCTATGTAAACTATAAAAGTACCTCCGACCGGCGATTGCATCACAGATACTAGTAAAATGTGCCCGCTTATATCATTTTATTTAATCATTTCGTCCATATTATATTCTCAAACTAGGAATGCCACAAATTTGAAAATGAACATTCGGGAGTAATAATTATTAAAAAAAATATAAAATAAAAAGTTAATTTTTTAAATCAATAGGCCAGAAAAAGATTTAACATTGTTGACACATAACAAATTTAAGTACACTTAATTTTTAGGTTGACCACATTTGGATCCTTTAGTAGTTGTATTCAGAAAAGATTTAAAATTCAAACAATTTACTTCAAAGTTTAGTCTGATAGAATTAGTAAACACTAAACTTTTATTAAATCAAAGGCAGCTGTGATGTGAAGAGAAGCTGTTTGTCTGGAGATTTTGAGTTTTATCGGGAGTGTGGAGATCATTTGAAATGTCGGGAGACTCCAGACGAATCCCGACCATCTGGCAAGTGGCAACCCTACCTCAGACCAACAAAGAAAATTAGATGGAGCCTTTGATTATATAGACAGGATCAAAGGATGGAGCATTACATTTTTCATGTGAATCCAAAGCCGTGCTCAAGTTTTTGACGCGAACTCACACACACGTTTTTCTTTCCTTCTTTAACAGCATGAAAGAGTCTATTGCTGGACGCACACAACATAATAATAATGTCATCCAGACCGAATTTCGGTCACGGCGGCCAGTCTCAACGGAGACTAGCCATCGGCGCAGGACAGGATTACAGTGCCCGAACACTTGGGCAAGCACAGATGCACTCTCTATTCCATTACTCTCATGGTCCGATGGGACGGTAAACCGACACGACCCGAGAGAGATCAGGCGCACGATAGGCAAGCAGCTACTGAGAATTTCTTAATGGAAAATCTCAATAACTGATTTTTTTGGCCCAACCCGGGATTCGAACCCGGGATCTCATGATCAGCATTTGCACTACTGCAACCACTAGACCAACGAGGCCGTCGGACGTACACATGTGCACACGTTAAAACCATGTTCTTGTTTTCAAACGATTTTATTACGTACGTACAGATTTTATTACATACCCTATGCAAATGTGCGTATTCAATTCTGCAATTATTTCTGTGGTTGAGCATGATTTTGGTACAGAATAAATAATACTATATTTCTTCGTTGCTAAGCGTAATAAATTAAAAATAATTTATTTATTTATTTATTCTTTTTTGTACACCACAACACAGAAACATCAAGATAGTTAAAACTAATTAAAGTATGTACAATAGGCGGTCTTATCACTCTGAAAGTGATTTCTTCCAGACAACCTTTGCGTAGAGGAATGATGCACACAAAAGTTACAAATAGAGGGGGGCATACAAAATAATAATAAAAAAAACAATATAATAATACATACAAATAAAAATAAGTGAAAGTTATATATAAAATATCATATAATAGATTAAACGAAAAGAGTACGAGAAAGGTAAAGTAATTTATCTAATAGCGTTCTGAATAATACGATTTAACAAGACTTTTGAAAGAGTGAAGGGATTTAGCACGACGAATATGGACAGGTAAGGAGTTCCACAATCGCACAGCGGTTAAAATAATTATTACTATTTTTTTTAAAACCTATTAATATTATAAAAACTGTATTTTTTATTGTCTATTTATTTACTTATACTTTATTGTACACCAAAGTACAGAAAACCAGTAGAGTTCAAACTAAAGTATACTACTATTATCTAGATGTTAGTGCTGTTAGTCTATGCGACTCTTACAGCTTCATCTGTCTCAGGGCTCGCGGCCTGCAAGGCCAACTAAAGTATAATATGTGCAACAGGTTTATTTATTTAGAACTGTAATTATAATTATTTATGGTACTAGCTACATCTCCAATGTGCAACTTGGTCCTTTAACTGCTCATATAGTAAGAAACCAGTTCGTTAGAAAGTGCACTAGGTAGGCCTGTCCGATTTCGCTTGAACTAAGCAGAATTTTGTAAAGTGAAGGTAGCCGTAGTTTTCTCCCATCTCAGTCTTATAAAACAAATTAGTTCTTTATGCTTCCTAATTATTTGTTTACTATATAATATTTTAGGGAAAAATCAAACTTTTGAAATTTTTTTTTAATATTTACCGTGAACATGCACTGTAAATATTGTGAATATATTTATATCATTCATAAAACCTTTGTCTTTGGGTGAACATTGTACAACAAACACAGTTAAAAAAGTTCCTGTCCTGGCTTCGAAACTTATATTATATTTTCTTCAATTTAATTTTAGAGAGTCCAGTGCAACCGATTTAGATTAGACTCTAGATTGAAAATATAACTTTTAAACAATTATCATAATAAGTGAATAAGGCAAGGCTCCACAATGTTCCAAACGTCGTACATTTCAAATCGCTGAAACTGCCAAATGCTAACTGGGATCAGGCCACTTTGTTATGGTGAGCTGACGATACAGAATGCCTCTGAAAACATTAAGCGGAACTATATTAGCCTAATAAAAGACTTACCAAGCAATCATACCTAGAATAAGCAAGCTTTAATGGTACGATACCGGGAAGTCATACCGTAGGTGTTAAATGCAGCGATAGAGATCGAATGCTACGCATAGAATAACTTAATATGCATTTTAAAATAATTCGAGCGATTGTATTTCGACATTTGGAATAGATATTTTTATATCTTCATTTTTTTGTAGAATGAGGGTGACTGACAAACGAGCACACAGTCCACCTGATGGTAAGCGGATGCTGTGGCCCGTAGACATCTACATTTTTCTCCCCAGTTGAGAAATAAAATGCAGGCGCGTTGTCACCCCTGAGGACTGAGATGGAATGCATCGTTTCCAGTAAAAAGTTTCTCCGGTTCTTTACACTCACTATACGAAACACAGCAACATTAAGTTGCTGTTTAACGCTGGTATTCTGTGAGAGCGTGGCAGAGGGGCAGGACGCCCCTGTCGAGCCGACCCATTCATGCTACAACTATACCACTACTGTAGCTGCAGCATGGCTTTACCACGTGAAAGTAGCTACCACGAGACATCTCATCTTAACCCTCAGGGCTGCATCAGTAATCTTGTTCGAAAAACTGTAGGTGTCCATGTGCAGATGTAGCCTACGTTATTACTTTGTTTGCCCCTCTAATATCTGAGAGAAGAAACTACCAACTTAAAATGTGTACACTTGAAGGAACGTTTATTGTGAGTTCAATACAAATGTAATTATCGAGCTGTTACCCGTCTATCCTATTTAGCGCCTGTGTGGTGCTAGGAAATTGTTCCAGATATTTGCCCCTCACAATATATTAGGGTCGACGTCCGACAATACCGACAAGGCAGGTTGTACAGTTGTACATTAGTATGGTGTTCATTTGTTCCAACACTTTCGCTAACCTGTTTACAGCGGGATGACTTAGGTCAATCCTTCTTCCTCTTTTGCTTATGTTTCAGGTTGTGCGTTCCGTAGCTATTTTCCGCTCGCTTTGATAGGGCTATTTCATAACGTTATAATAAGCCGTGGTACTTGAAGCTCAGACGGTTAACGCTCGCTATAAATTTCACAGTACGCGAGCAACCCGGGTTCGATCCTCGCCGCCACCAATGAAATTGTTAATTGCAATTTTAAGTGCTGATTTATCACGTGCTCGGCGATTAAGAAAAACATCGTGAGGAAACCTGCAAGGCGGAGACATAAGAAAAAAAATATTTCGGAGAACTGTGAAGTTTGCCAACACGCATAAGGGCAGTGCGGCGGACACTTCCTCGCTCTAAAAACCCTCTCAAAAATAAGAAGTGGCCTGTCCCAGCTATGGGACGTACACATAGGCTGTAACTTTTACTTAACTTTAAGTATACTATTCCATGATATTTTTTGCATTAAAATCCCGACAAATTTATCGTGATTGGATGACAAACATCCAAATAGGCAAACTGTCACATTCATAATTCCTAACGACTATTAATAACGAAATAAGGATATTATGATAATAAAGCTCCATCTTTGCTTTACAGATCCAAACGGTGTTGCGACGGAGCGCGGAGCGACGTACAACAGCGAAGTGTGGTTCAAGGCCGCCACCATAGCGGTGCCGGTCTGCGGCGCCCTCATACTGTTTCTGCTGGTGGCAGTGGCAGTGCGGCTGCTTAGAGCTGATGCTCTGCTACACGCGGATAGGAAATTGAGGTACGTATGGTATGTACGTGTGAAGGTGTAATATTTCAGAGTACGACAGCGATTTAGGATTTAAAAACACGATCAGACTATAAAACCGTGCTTGCAAAACTAAAGTATATTATTTTTGTATGAAAGGGAGTATTGTCTTTTATGGTTAGTATAGGGGAGCTCTAGGCCGCTCAGCGAGCTATGGAGATGGCTGTGCTCGGAATTTCTCTGCATGATACACTTCAGAATGAGGATATTCAACAGTAGAACTAGAGTACCTGACATACCTCAATTGATCATTAAGCTAAAGCAGCAATGGGTCGGCTATGTAGCTCAAAGAACTCACAATCAATGGGTAAAAAAAATATTCTTGAGTGGCAGCCTCTTACAGTAAGCAAGATGACGTTATAGGAGATACAGAAGGTGAAACTGTCTTCACGATACTGGAGAAAATCCCATTGTGGTATTAACTTTTTTTTTAAAGAAAAAAGAGACAGTTCAGTGTATGATGACTGCGGCACGAATGGTTCGGCTTAACCGGACAATGATCACACTGTTACAAATTTAGCGTAAAATAGCAGCTTCGTGCTGCTGTGTTTCGTATGGTCAGTATAGAGAACAAGGGGATCCTTTATACGGGAAAAGAGGCATCCCATCTTACTCCTTGTAGGTGACAACGTATTATTAATCGACAACATTACCCCTGTGTGTATAGACCCGCTTTGTGTCACAGCATCCGCTTACCGTCTGTATGTTCGTTATTACCCTTATTCTATAAAAAGACGTACTGCTAGGGTGAAATAGAGTCTTACTTACCACCTAGTGGCATGACCTTTTACTGGTACTGGTACAAAGACCTCAAAGGTGACAAAGAATCTACATTTTGATTTTTAGTCGATCACAGATATATATGGGCCACCTAGGTAAGTGGACCATAATATGCTCGTCACTCTTAAGTAAAAAGTTAAAGTCTATATTACGTCCCACTGGTGGGCATAGGCGTCCTGTCACTTCTGAGAGGGCCTGTGTGTTCTTACCTTTTCTTTTTTTTTTGAAAAAACACGGGTGTGCTAGGACGAGTAATGTCTGTGTGTGCGTAAGTTTGTGGCGCCAAAATATCTCTTACGTTATCGCTTAAAATTACTCAGAAGTCCCCGGTGCTCCTGAATCGGCAAGCAGGATTACTATACAAACTATATAAACCTAGATTAATCCCAGCCGCCAAATTTCGTGAACGCACTACGCGGCAAACGTCCCGATACCATCAACACCACCTGGATGCTTGGCGGTCCACCACTGTACGTTTCAGAAGGAGTTTTCTTTCGCGTACGACCTCTCTGTGGAATAGTTTATCACCGGCGATTTTTCCGGACCGATACGACCTGGGGACCTTCTAGAAAAGGGCTTACTCCTTTCTAAAGGGCCGGCAACGCACCTGCGATTCCCCTGGTGTTGCGTTTCATCATGGGCGGCGGTAGTCACTTAACATCATCTCTTCTATTAAAAAAAAATTATCATTAATCAAACTTATGTATTTTTTTTACAGAGGTGGATACATGTCTCCAGCTCAGCATTGTTCGCAAGACGTAAAGAAAGTATGGGTGGGGAACTCTTCTGCGCCTCTCTTAGTGACGTCGGGAGGTTGCCTCGTAGCTGTTGAAAGGGCTCAGTTAGTCGATGTACCCCCTCCCACGCAACTCTGTGATATCCGGCGGTAAATCCGCTGTACAAAAGCGCAATCTCTTTGGCGAGCTGTACCGTGAAGTGATGATTATGGATGGACTTGCTTATGTTAGAATTTATTGTGTGTATGAATATGAGGCTTTTTTTAGGTCGTGGGCTTGAGCTTTGTCACTTGTTAATGCTAGCGTTGTACTTTTGAATTTCAATCTTAGCGTATACATATGCAAGCTAAGAGTAAACATAAGCATAGCTTGCGTATATATACTCTGAGATTTCGATAGATGGCACTGTAGCTATATTATTTGATAGAAATAGATGGCGTTAATATAGCTCAATTATGACCACTAAAAACGAATTGTCTTCATCGACAAGATCTACATTAATATGATAATTATAAGCGTTGCCGTTTCAAGGCGCTCTATTAAGACTGATTTTGAAGCCAATTTATAACTTTGTGCTATTAAATATAACTTGTGAGGACTTTACACATCGATGGTTTTGTGTCACAGAAAAAACGTAAAACAGCGTTTTAAAGTTTATAGGTGAATCCTAAAATTTTTTGTCACATAAAAAAATCTTATTATATCACACTACAATACGATCTGCACGATTTAAATCGGCTTATGTGAAAACAAAATATATCCATACACATATCCCTACGAACCCTGTCTGTTAATTAGTGCTTTAAAAGTTTTCCACGGATGATGAATATAATTTATTATAATAAAATTTAAACAAAGTAAAACAAACTTAAGAAACGGAAGATTCACAGAACAGGATATTTAGCTTCAATTCTATTAGCAAATGGCGAAAAAAAAACATCATTAGAAAATGTTAATAACGAAAGTATGCAAAGGATTTTGTTACATGAGGGTATACTTTTGAAAACTCATTCGAAATTACGTCCTTTTAGCAGTTAGTTAAAAACAAGGCAAAATCAAGATGAGTTTTACAGGCAGGATAACATGACAAAATAATATTAACATGTCATTTTCAGTGATACTATAATATATAAAGAGATTTTTACTGTAATAAAATTTACTTGTAAATCAAAGTCAAAAGCTACTGACTCATAAGTGAGTGGTGCGGTATTTATTAAAAATGTTTATATAAGCCTTAATTAAAAAAGAAACCTAATACCATAGACAAAACTGTGCATATATTCTTTGAGTACCTACAAAAAAAATTAGAAATAGTACACCAAGACACCTAGCCAATTAGGTAAAACACGCAAAAAGATCTTCAGCTTTTGTTATTCTCGATTGTTGAATTAAAATTAATAAGTAGATGGATACGAACGTTTTTTAATTGGAAATATTTGCAAATGAATAGTCAAGTGAATGATGGTTTTATAAGATAATATGAAATGTAATGTATAAGGAATAATTTGTGTTGTGAATTTAATACAAAATGGGGCATACGACACCACATAACTTTTTTTTCTTATTAGTAAAAATTCCGGCCAGTAAGTTTGAAACCGTTGCACGAGGTGCGATTATATCATATTCAATATAATTTTTTATTAAACATCAATTACAAAAAGAATTTGATGTAAAAAGTGCCCTTGATAATTGAATCTTGTTATATTGATCTCAGAATTGTAGAATCAATCATTTCACGGAGCAGCTCGCGGTATACCAAATCAAGCACAGTGTATTTTTTAATAATTATTATTTTTTTAATTTCGTAAGCGCTTTGTGTTCCTTTATGTAAAATGTAAATTTTACCTGTCTCATGATATTTTTTTTTTTCTAAAGAGAGTGAAAGCCTTAAATCTTTTTACCGAAATAGTTAAGTTACCATAACATCACAGAAAATATTTTAGTACTTTATACGGAATGACACATATCTACCTATTTCTTAACGTTCGTCACCTCTTTTGTGACCACCATCGAAATAAATAAATACACATAATGCATGTTATAAACGACAAAAATAACAATATCATTAGAGGTGGATCGGAAACGAAATTTATCATTCTTAATTTTTTTTAAACCAAACAAATATTAAAACTTGACAAAAATTAGCAATTCATGAACATTAACTTAGGGTATGTTCCGAAACGTTTCCAGTATACTGCCGAATACAAATGGCGTCATCAATTGACGCCATATTGTACTGGCGTGCCGCCGCCATATTGTGTCGGATATCCGGCCATATTAAAACAATTTTTAATTGTGTGTACGCTGAATGAAGCACGCCAGAATTTGTTTTTATTCATTCAAAATTATAGAATAATTGTTGGTATCTCCATTATGAGGATATAATGATTTTTGGAGCACAAAATGACAAAATAATCGTCAACACTTTTTCAATATGGCGCCAATGTATGACGTCATTTGCATTGCACAGTACACTGGTTTCTATTTTGGAACATACCCAATAGTTATCATTCTTATAAACCTTATCATATCATTTAAACTATGTTCTATTACAAAATGGTTGTGAGATCAACGAAATATGACGTCACAAAATAGATTTCTCTTAAAACTAGATAATTTATCACCTATGTTTGGACTTATTCTTTGATAGAGATACGAATTTATTTTAACAAATATCTATTATGAAAAATTTAACAAAAAAAATTACAAATAAAAAAATGGATACCTATGAACAAACCAGGATTTTTTGTGCCAGAAATTTGCGCGGTACCTTCGAACATTTTACTCCTCGTGGAGATAATGAACTAATAAAGTTATGTAAATGACCGTATATAAACATATTATATTTGTAAATATATCTTTGTTAAGTTGTTACCTGTTGTAATATGCATGTATATTAAGCTACAAAATAACGTCACCTAGTCTTTTATAATCTGATAATTTTATTTTATTTTAAATCAATTGTAATCGTTTTACTACAATAAGATATAAAAATATTTTATTCAAATTAAATTTTAAACAGAATATTGAAAAGTAAATTTGCTTTTTTAATAATCACACATACTTTTTTTTCATTGTTGTGAATAAATTAATGTCCTAGTAACGTAATTTATGAGAAATTAAGAAAATCTTGAGTAATATATTTTTATTCATATTGTGTTTATTTAAGGGCTGATTTTTAAATCACCAGACAAAAGTTATTAGTAATAGGATTATAAAATAAAAGATAAACAAATTAAAAATTACAATTGCACGATTAAAATAGATCAATTGTTTCAATATTATATTTAGTCAGGTTGTAATTTATTTGATGGATAACTTTTATCAAATGATTAAAAATCAGTCTTTAATTCAATGTTTTATGATATAATATTTAGTTTGTTAATATGTTATTATTTACGTCTTGGATATACTTATGAAATACGAGACTAGACGAATGTATTTTTTTAAATATGAACTCACGATATGTACTCACGATATCACAGACTAACTGTACAAATATCAATTATTATGGGCCTTATTCTGTAAATATTTTCTAATCTTATTGTATACACTAAGCTTCCTAAGGTGCCTTACCTTTGACTTTTTAAGTATCTGTAAAAACTATACAACAAAATGTAATGTACACTAGGTGCAAGTTAATAATACTCCGTAATGTTAGTGATTATATCTGCGGTTGTAAATATTATGTATAAAAATGAACGAATAAAATGAAATTATTTTATTACTTGTGTCGATTTGTTTCCTTTTTTAAAACTTCTACGCTCAGAAGAAGTCAAAACCATTGTCAACTTATTATTACGAGCTTAGGGTTCGTAACAATAAAAACTGCCGATTGAATTACCAAAATTGGCACTTAAATTACTGAACACGCATACTTCTGCAACATCAGAGCACCTAAGTCAGGTGTTGCAGATGTAGGAGCTCTTTAACTCTAGTAGACTCTTTAACTACTGAACACCAATTAAAACTTAAATCACACTAATAATTATTCACACTTAACACTTTAGTTAACTTTATTTCACTCCGAAAGCTTCGCTCGTATCGCCAATTCAATACTGCATCGGTCGCGGCCCTAAACGGCTTTAAATAGGCCTTTTCCACCGAAACATCCAGAATATTCCAGCAAATACCGGCCCCCGACCGACCAGGTGCAGAAAGTTCGAGTGTGGAGCTTTCTAGAAAGCTTAGTTCTTCCATTCGATACTAGATGGCGCTAGTGGGAGAGTTCTAGAAAGATCTTGACGCTTCTATTTCTGCTGCTTGATACCAGATAGCGCTAATAATCAGCCGCCACATACCAGGCGCTAATTATAGCGCGCAACATTAGTATATAAAGTTGTACTCTTATATAGGCTTCTAAAGATGCTAAAAATAAAATCCGCGTAATAAAATAAATGGACGTCTCTTACCGAATTTAAATGTTCACCAATCTGAAACCTGAAGAGAACTAATATAATAACAATAATAAACGTTTATTTCGGACATTTACTTAATATAAAAGAGGCTGTATGGTATCTTATCTTAGTGCTCAGAGGCGACTACGCATCTGTAGCGTACTTTACGTTGGTAGCAGTCCATGGGATGCAGTAATTATCAATAAGACTGCATTTTTTTTTAAATATAGTCAAATTAATAACATTTTCAATTTCTTTTGAGGAAGTTAATGCTGTTGGTTTTGTGTGAGATATGATCGCGATCTTTTCCAGTTCGAATCAATCCATTCGAGCTACAGCTATAGTGTATTTCTATCACGTTAATAATAAATATCCCCAGAGCAGACATGTTGTTTTCTGATATAGAAAAATCACATATAACACTCGTGTCGTTTATACAAAATGTTATTAAATATACCATCGCATTGCGTCCCTGTAAACTTTTAAAGAATTTACTCCACTCCAAAAACCATTTCTGTGCTTTTCTGTAAGTAATTTCAGCATATATTTAGGTTTCCGTTGATAATTATGAAACCGTAACAAGGTTTCTATTCATCTTAACTTCGTTCTATCCATCGGTCCTAATGTGCAAATCATAACTTACAGAATTAATAACAATTAGACGTTGACTATTCTTTCGATGTAAAAATATGTAGGTCTCTATTTTAAATCACGTACATTTTTTGCGAGGTACTATTGTTTTTGAAAGTATTTTCC